ATATGAAAGGACAGGGTCAAAAGTAAGTTGACCCCTGACAGAATGTACAATTATGAGCAGAGGGCTGCGCACGAGCAGCTGCTGGAACCCCACTGGTTCCGCATGGGGCTTCCAGGAGTCAGAATATGAATAATCAACTCAAGATTGTTTCCTCCCCCCCGTCCACCCTCACCACCTCCCCCTCACCCCCACCTCGTCCCCTGTTTTGAGCAAGTCCTATTCTATTTCTACAGGAAGAAGCCTGGCCCTCCCCAGCAGCTGCAATAATTGTGTTCCTATTGTGAGGAAGACCTCCTCCTGGCCACCCCCTTACAAGTGGCCATTGTCGGCAGAGAGTCGGTGATTACACGCTCCGCCTGATGCTCTGGGGGACCCAGCTGCCTAAGTGCTGACACACGAGTGTGCAGTGTGCGGAAGGCCGGGCAGGGGCTGGTGGAGGTGGAGGCAAGAGGTGGGGGGGAGGCCACGTCTGTGCAGTGGGACTCGGACATACCAGACCTTTTGCATAAGTCAAGCCCAGAACAAATGAGGCTTTATCAGGCCCCACAGAAGAGGGGGTCTCATCTCCCTTTGAAGTGGAGCTGAGATGGAGACAAGCAGCTTTTCCTCCTTGGGATCAAGCAAACATCCTTCTTTTGATATGCGACATGCTCATTATCTCTGTCCCATTTAACGATTTTTGATTGAAGGGTGGCGGCTGGGATGCCGAGAAGATCCTGAGAGGGGCTCCGTCCAGCCAAGCCCGCAAGAAAGGCTTTCCTTGTGCCTGGGCCTATATTTGGAATTTCTTAACAGTGTGCGCTTGTTCTTAGAGGCAGATAAGGGCTGAGCGTGAAATTCTTAATTAAGCAATAAATAGAGAGTGGGGTGTCAGCAGATGCAGCCAGTAGCCATGGCAACAGGAATCACATGGGCAAGAGAGCTGAGACTAGATGTAGGCCTCGGGCCTGGGCCTGACTGACAGCTGAAGAATCCTACAAAGCTTGTAAACCAGATTAATTAGCTGACTAATTATTTCATAGCGTTAATGTAACTAAAAAATAAAAATAGTTCACCATGAACTGAAACCGCCCTGGAAAACAACAGCGGGGAAAGAGGCAGGGGGAAGTTGGCTGTGTCAGGCAGAGCCAGGAGCTGCCAGGGAATCAAATGGTATAAATGGGGAGATGGGCTTGCTGGCTTTGAGTCCGGCTTTGAAAATGAGAAAGAACACTTGTTCTACAGGCAGACCCATCCCAAGCATGGCATAAAGGTTACGTCTCGGAACCACCATTCATAATAGTTAATCACATCAAATACTGCCCCTCTGGGTCCTAACACAACCGCAGCACACAGTACTTCACTTGTGGTCTGTTTTGTAAGTGGCTCCATGGGCAGCATTCTCAGGGATTTAGAAAGTCCACCTGAACCAATCTCCTTACAAGATCTCTTTAAATGAACGAGGTTATCTTATTCTGTGGGTAGAAATTGCTTAAGTGGTATTAAATTTCAATCATGGGAACAATATGTCATATATGTTATATGATCATGAATCTCAGCTATCTAACAAAATCTAGTCAAGAAAAAAAAAATGAGACCCTTTTCAGAAAAGTGATGAGTTCAAGGCTTGTGACGTTGTTAATGTTCCGAGGAAATAAAAAAAAAAAAAATTCTAAAGAAATAATCTCTTGAGAAAATTTTGAGCAAGGTAACATGGCACACTAATCACAGCTGAGGATGTTTTGGGTGTTTTGTAGCACAATTCCAAGAGATAAGTCAGTATTCTTAACCTCGCTGTATAGATGAAGGTATTGAGGCATGGAGCATTTATAATTCCATGCCCCAGGTAAAATAGCCAGCCAGCCACTGATTAAAACCTTAAGCCCTAAGCTCTGGCCATGAGCTTTCCAAAGAACCTGCATTCCATAAAGATGTTTGCGGAACAAAGACAAGACTCGCCTCGGTAGAGAGAGAAATGCAAGGGTCAAAGATATTATATGTACAGGATTCTTTGTCTTTGTCACTGGGGATCAGCGAGAAGTCTTCTCCCATGACCCTGCCCAGCACCCCCAGCACCACCCTTTCTGGTCAGTGATCAATGATTCTTTGGCAGGCAGCACACTCTAGTGGAGGGATCCATAGCCAGGAGCTAGAATGCCTGGGTTCTGATTTCTCCCATTCTCAGCCATGTCTAAGATTAGTCGGGTATCTTAAATCAAACACATGAAGTAGCCAAATGCAGGAAATGAATATAATTGTGATTTTAAAAAATTCCTCTCCTGGGGGATGTGGTTAGGTCTCAAACAATACAAAAGACGATCCACTTAGAAGTGGTCAACAAATGAATGGTCAGTGAAGCAGCACGCCGAGTGAAAGCCAGCCAGGAAAAGGAGCAGGACCCTTCCATCCCTGTCCCCCCTGAAAGTCTGACAGGAAACCCAGGGGACCTGAAGGAGGCCGAGCAGTTTCCCGACAATGAAATGAAACTTGTACACACAACTCTCCCGATGATTTTTCATCCAGGAATATGTCCACACAGAATGTGAGGTCTGTACTTGGGCTTTCTTCTTAGATTATATGTATTTTGTGTAAAATAGGGCCAATCACAGACTTATAATACCACATGATAAAAAATAAAAAAAAAATTAAGTAAACTAACCAATATGTGAAATGCATGGCACAGAACTGAAACAGGTACCAGCTGCAATTCCCTCACTGCCATTTAGGCATCATGGCATCCTGAGCCCTCCTAAAGATGCTGCAAACGATGCACAAAGGAGATCAAACCAAATCCATGCAACCCAAGACAGCTGCATGGGTACCAGCGAGGAGGAGCGGGAGGAGCCTCCATTCCCCCCTGGGTCCTGGTGTCCTCAGGGTGCCAGCCCAAAAATGGGAACAGACGTGGCTCTGGCCTCCTCTCTATCCCTTATGCTCAGAGGGTACAGGAGGCACAAATGACCCTGAGAGCCACTACTTGGAACCCTAGGAATCCTTTCCAAGGAACAAGGGTCTCCCGGTTCACTAAACATTCAACCAACCCTCTGCGACTTCCTGTTCCTTTTCCAACTCATATTATTCAAAGGGTGGAAATACCCATGTATTCTGACAAAGAACTTTGTAAAAATTAATAAAAACTATATACCTAATTAAAATGTTTTACATTAAAATATTCATCGCATCATATATATACAATATACATATGCAGAGGTACATCTATGCGTAAATATATATACTTATACATACTTATGGTATGTGTATTTATACCATATATGTATATACTAGTATATATAGAATAATAGTTTCACTTGCTATTAATTCAATAAGTAATACTATCAAAAGGGAAGAAAATCTGTAACTGTGTGATTTGATTTGATTTTGTCTTTAAGCCCCAAATATTCCTTTATCATTTTGGCTTATGTGAGTATTCAAATTTGTCTGCAGCTCATGAACAGAATCTGACCAATGGACATGTTTCCGAAGACCACACTAAGTAATAGAACAAGAACCATTTGAAATTAAATTTTGCTCTATAATATATACCAAGTGAATAGTCATAGTTAAAATTAATGGCAGCGATTTGCTCTTGCTACTGGTATTCCGCTCCAGAGTGGTAAACCAGTCACAGGCTCTCTGTCCCTCCTGAGTTTTTATAGTTTTAGGTTACATTTATGAATGAATCAAATCAGAAAGAAAATCTGAACATTACAATTCAATGCAAGTAAAATATACAACAATCCATTTGGCAAAGATAAAAATATCAGAGAAGTACCATACTCTCCTCTATGGTGCTATTAACATGTCATCATCCCAGGGCTTAAGTGTAGCTCAGACTCAGTGGACATACAGCTAGGCACAAGGGAGAGGGGCCGGGGACTCAGGACAATTGCCCAGCTCTCTATATCCTTAGGGACAAGACTGGCTTGTAGCAGGGGCTGGGACTTGAGGAGCTGTGAGTTCTCCTGAATCTGACCAGGATCTGTTAAGACTAATTGATAACAAAATTGACATTCTAGAGACCCATTTGGACAGATTCTCCTTACGGACCACACTGAGCTGAGGTTGGTATAAATGGACATCACAGTGCTCAGAGTGACCAATGCTGACATGGTATAGAACAAGAATATGAGACAAACACCAGGAAGTCAAAAGAAAACTCCTGTGAAATACGCACAATAAGATGATAAAGAAATCCTTCAGCCATCTATTACTCTGCAATCACAGAAGGGTTTCCGGTCCTATAAGGTGAGGTTCCTGCATCCTACATCTTTTTGTTTTAATCCTCACGTGAGGATATGTATATTGTTTTGAGAGAGAGAGAGAGAGAGAGAGAAAGAGAGAGAGAGAGAGAGAGAGAGAGAGAGAGATAGCAGTAGGTTGCCTCCTGTATGCTATATCCTGATGCAAGACAGAGACAGCCCACCCTAGTCCTCAGATTTTCAGATCAGCCCTCCACGCCTCCGCACCCTCCTGACCTTGGATCCCCTTCCAAGGCTTTCCTTCTCACCTTCCACAGTAACTTCACTCTTCATTCCTCCTCTTTGTAGCTGTCACCTGTCCTCTCTGTTGCTCCTAATATCTGTGGCCATAACCAAGCCATCCTGTCTTTCCCATGCACTCGATCTTTCTACAAATATAACAGTGCCTTAAAGTGAATTGAAAATATTAATAACAATGTTTAATAAGCACTTGGTATGGGTTAGGCACTCTGATAAAAAGTTTTACATATTATCCTTTATATAATTTCCTATCTTTTGAGGTAGGTCCAATTATTTCATTTTATAAGTGAGGAGGCTGAGCCTCAGAGAAAAAGAGCAGGTGCTCAGTGTCCCAGAGCTAGTAAGGCTTGGAGCTGGGATTTAAACCCAGGCAGTCTGATTTCAAAGCCCATCCACTTCACCATAACACACAGCTGTCTCCCTCAGTTCCCCATCATTTCATAGCACAACTGTCTAAAATTCAAGAGTGAGTGGTGGTTTCTTACTATGTGCCCTTAAAAATGCCCACGCAATTATACTTACCCAGATAGGTGAGTTGCCTCAACTGGCTACTGAAGAACCAGTCACAGCCTTGGTCTTTACCAGGCGATGGAAGAGAGGGCAACGACCGCCCCACTTGACTCCCGCACCTTATGAGGATGTCAGGGGAAGGCCACGGGACTGTGTGGACCAGCCGGAGGTAATTCCCAGGAGCAAAGTTGTCAAATGTTGCTGAGTACTTGAAGTGAGAAAAAAATACAATAGAGCTTATTTAGGAAGGAAGACTCCCCTATAAAAAAAGCTACAAACAGCCCTGACCAGTTTGGCTCAGTGGATTGAGCATCGGCCTGCAGACTGAAAGGATCCGGGTTCGATTCTGGTCAAGAGCATGTACCTTGGTTGCGAGCACATCCCCAGTAGGGGGTATGCAGGAGGCAGCTGATCAATGTTTCTCTCTCATCGATGTTTCTCTCTGTCCCTCTCCCTTTTTCTCTGTAAAAAAATCAATAAAATATATTTTTTTTAAAAAGCTACAAACAACACTGAGTTGTTTAGAAATAAGATAGTTTACACCCAGACGACTTTTCTTCTGGGGAATGGGCTTATTTGAATCCACTTCGTAACAAACTCAGAACTAGAGTTTACAAAATCATACCAGGTGAGATGGAAAGACACCATAATTTTCCTTTTGTTTAACTTCCTTAATCAACACAAGAGAAAACCAAGGCCCAGACAAGTGGATGGATTTGTCCCAGGTCAAATAGCTAGACGAGACAGAGCTAGGTCTGGAATCCCTTTAAAGAGGCAGGCAATGTTGGCAGTATCATCCATTTATAACAGCAATAGCGAACACTGTTGTATCATGTGCTACATCAGTGGTTCTCAACCTTGGCTGCACATTAGAATCACCTGGGAATCTTTTGAAAATCCTGATTTCTGGGCCTCAGCCTCAGGAAATTCTGTTTCTTTGTTACTAATGTTGTGGCCCCACTCCATAACAAAGAAACAGAATTTCCAGAAGATGAAGCCCAGAAATCAGGATTTTTCAAAAGATTCCTAGGTGATTCTAATGTGCAGCCAAGGTTGAGAACCACTGTGCTACATGCTTAAGTACGACTCACATAAAGTCATTCAATCCTTGAAATATCCCCTGTGATTGTTACTGTTCATGCCCCATTTTACAGATGAGGAGAGTGAGGCAGGTAGAGGTTCAGGAAACTTGTCCCATATCACAAAGTTGGAGAGTGTGCGCCAGGAGAGAAACCAGTCACCAATCGACTGCCTTTACCTTATGCAAATTCCATGAAATGTTCTCATGGGAACCTTTAGGGAAGGAAAGAGTTCTTTGCTCTCAGAGAGGTGGTGAGAGGATAAAGACAGATTCTGTTTTGAACTCCTCAGAACTATGGCACACCTAAACCAGCCTCTAGTTCCCTAAGACTGCTCTCAGGGCTTGTAGGGAATATAAATATTAGGACACAGGAAGAAACGTGTTCAAAGGAAGAAAAGAAGCTTTAGGGAATCCACCTTTGCTTGGTTTTTTTTGTGTGGTTTTGTTTTTTGGTTTTTGTTTTGTTTTTTCAGAAAATGCACCCACTTCCTACATGACTATTCCTGTGTTTGTTCCCCCTAACCATTTGACTCCTAGACCTTCATTTACAAGATAATTTTTGACCACAAGGTGGCAGTATGCAACATAAAAATGCTTTGTTAAGGCATTTTCTTGGGTTATAAACACTCCTCTCTGGGTTAAGTTGGTTCTTAACCCAAAATATAAGAATACAATTCTATAGATTGCTTAGAAGCTGTTTTTTATTGTATTAATAAACCTAAGAATTCAGGCAGAACCAATCTGCACTCAAGGTGAAATATATATAAACTTGAAATACATAAACTTGAAAATTTTATTAAACAGATTATAAAATTTTCAAATACACACACACACACATTGTATTCAAGTTACAGTCATACATTCATCTGGTCAAATGCTGCTGCAGTTTTCTTTATCAATACCAAAAGATGCTAATACCTTCAAACTATTATTCTACAGAAGGAAACATCAGAAGCACTTGGAAATGGAACATACCATTGAATAAATTCCCTGCAGAGATCTGTTGGTCCAAGGAGTCTCAAATCGCAGTGAGTAGGTCTCTTGATCCAAGAGCAGAGCCATCCAGCCATCAGGGTTAGACAATGTGTCATGCACATAGTTGACAGTGGTTGTCTTATTTCTGCTGTCAGTCAAGGTTAAGTCATAAGAAACATCCGGAGCATTAGTTCTAGCGTGAATTTAAAAAGAAAAAAAAATGGGTTTTAAGTTATTTGTTCATCCTGTATCTAATGTACTCTTCTTCCATCAGTTATGACTCATCTTCTATTCTCTCCATGTATGCTGTAGGCCCCTTCTACTCTGTGTGTCTGTGGAGGTTCCAGCAGTCACTGCATGCGTCAAAACAGCCCAGTGCAAAGCTGTCCTTCCATTGTCTGTGCATGTCACTGGTCTGGTGGATTGGAGGTAGTAACGTTCATAACGGATGCCACTAAAATGCCATCTCAATGAATTCACATATACCAGGACTATAGTCTATTATTTAAAAAAAAAAAAAAAAGTCCATGACCAGAATTTTGCTGTAGACCAGGTTTCTCCACAGCAGAAAATACATTATATAGTCAGTAGATATCCTTATTGGGAGCAATGACTGAGAGCCAGAACCTGAGGTGCCTAGACTCTCAAGCCCACCT